CACTCTGCAGGCTAGGCCCCCAAAAACCTACTTGATTTAGTTGTAGTGTGGTGATCTGCTCTCAGTGAGGGCTTCACTGTTTCGTGCTTGGACTATCCCGCATCCGCCGCGTCTGTTCTGGAGTTATATTTAGGAAATGGTCTCCTTGTCAATGCGTTTAAAGCTACTTCCCACTTTCTCTTCTATGAGATTCAGTGTGGCTGGATTTATGTTGAGATCTTTGATCCATTTGACTTGAGTTTTGTGCATTGTGATAGTTATGGATTTATTTGCATTCTTCTACATTTTGACATCCACAAAATTGGAAAATCTAAAAGAAATAAACAATTTTCTGGGTAGGTACCACACGCCAAAATTAAATCAAGTCCAGATGAACCGTTTAAAAAGACCTATAATAGGACATAGAAGCAGTCATCAAAAGTCTCCCAACCAATTAAGGCCAGAGCTGGATGGTTTCAGTGCAGAATTCTACCAGAACTTCAAATAAGAGCTAATACCTATACTTCTCAAATTGTTCCACACCGTAGAAACAGAGTCAAACGTTGTCAAACTCTTCCTATGAGGCCACAGTTGCCCTGTTACCCAAACCATACAAAGACCCAACTAAGAAAGTGAATTTACAGACCAGTCTCTCTCATGGATACTGAAGCACAAATGCTCAATAAAATACTGGCAAACCATTCCAAGAGCACATCAAAGAAATTATCAATCATGATCAAGTTGGCTTTATCCCAGAGATGCTGGAATATTCAACATATGAAAATATGATGTGGGAGTGTCATATATTAATCTGTTGATTTCATTGGTTAAGTTATAATAAACCAGCTGCTTGGCCTCATGGCTTGGAACATAGATGGGAGGAGTAAACAGAATAGAATGCTGGGCGGAAGAGGAAGTGAGGTCAGACTCTGCGCTGCTTCCAGAGGGACCGGACAGACCCGACAGCTCTGCTGGAGGAGAGACGCCATGCTCAGCTCTCCTGGGTAGACGCATGATGGACGGAGGCTAGAATCTTCCCGGTAAGCGCACCTTGGGGTGCTTACAAACATCATTAGAAATGGGCTAGTCCAGGTGCGAGAATTAGCCTGTAAGGGCTAGGGTTCATGGGCCAAGCAGTTCTTAAATGAATACAGTTTGTGTGTTGTTATTTCGGGCATGAGCTAGCCAAGC